TGTTTTGTGTCTTTACATCAGCGACAAAATCAGTTAGCCAACAGGAAAGAAATAAGACCCACCGAAGAGGGAAGAAATAATTTAAAAACCAAAAGATAAAAATTAAAAGGGCAGGCAGTGATGTCGATGGTAAGCGCTGCAGTCTCCCGGAGGTGCATTCAGCACAACCCGTACAACACGCAGGTGCTTGATGTGCGGACTGATGGCATCAGTGTGGCTGCCATTGAATTTTTTAAAAGCGCCTCAAAGATGGAGGAAAGCAGTTTATCCCCATCTCAAAAGAGTCTTGAAATGATGGATGTAAATGAGCGCATGACGTGCACAGAAGGTGGGGGTGGGATATCGGACAATGGCACAGATGAGGTCAGCCGCACGATATCGTCATTACAAACGCCAGCAATTGCTTTTGCGATGCAACCCACGCCTGTTTTACCTCTCGTCCGGTACGCCTCTGTGAACTTTCGGTTTGGCAGCGCTTGGTTCGTCGCACCTTTCCGCACTGCTGTTGGTGAGATGGTGGTTGTGGAGTACCCGCACAATAAAAGCCTGCATATGGGTCTTGTCAGTTGCATCTCCACGCGGGTTCCCTCCACCTTTTCCGCCATGGCGAATTCGGACGGTGTCATCAGTAAGGATGATATTCAGCAGTGTCCGAGACTTTTGCGCCACGCCCGTGACATTGACAAGCAAACAAAGATGGAGCTGCGCTCGCATGATTTTGCTTCGCTGGAAAATGCCCAGGCGCTCGCGTTGGAAATGGGAACGCCTGTGACATTTTTAGATGCGGAATGGCTGCTTGACCTGACGGCTGTGACTTTTCTTGTAAATGTCTGGGGCGACATGTCGCTTGTGGACCGCCTCGCCGATGAGTTGGCGGCGTTTGAGGGGTCAGAGGTTGTCTTCACGTACCCAGCAGTGAACTGAGGATTAAAACAAAGAGTAGGGCAAATATATACGGAGAGAAAACTAAAACTAAATAATAAAAAAAGAAAAAAAAAAGAAAAAAAGAAAAAGAAAAAAGGGATTGAGAGAGAAATTTGCTAGAAATACCAGAGGAGATGAGAGAGAAATAGAGAATAAGAGAAATGTGAAGAAGAAGATATAATAATAACGGAAACCACGGGAATTCACAGAAATACACACATACATATATACATATATATATATACAAACAGACACACGGAAGTATAATAATGTGTACCAAAATGC